TTTTAAAATAAAACTTCCTGATTGCCTTAAAGATTTTTACCAGGATACATACAATTTTGTAAGCATGAAATCTTAAAATTTATTAATACATTAAATTTTTACAAATCCTAGATCTTGGTAAATTATAAGTCCAAGATTTCTAAAAAAATTCTATGTTGGAATCATCCTGATACTTTTAGAACTGTTTATAGGGTTTCTTCAGTATTTTCTGAAGAATTTCCTTAGAATCAATTCAGAATACCCTCCCGGAGATGAACCAGCGTCTGACCGAAAATCTCCTTAGACCACCCGCACCGGTGCGTTGCTATACATGCTGCTAGTTTGACAACTTTAGCCGTTGCTATTTTAGTTAGCAGCCAGGTTTCGCACCGGTCGTTGCTATCACGATTTTTATTTTATGTTTTTACCTTTCACATCGGTAGTTGCTAAATCTATCGTCAAACTTCGAGCTAAAACTGATCACAGAGCTTCGTGATTATAAGATCCAGAACATCCGTAAAAGTGGTCAATTCTAGAGTCGGTGTATAATGAGTCACGCCAAGAGAAAAACAGTTGAACTCGCATCACGGTTTTCGAAAGATTCCCTTTCTTTTCACTTGGCAACAGAGGACTTCTACATCAACTTCAAATGACTTCTAGCGAGAAAAAAAATAGCGGCTGTAGTAAATCATTATATCAGTGATTTAGTCAAATTATCTCAACCAAAAATAGTAGAAATTCTCATAAGTGATCATTACCAAACGTATCCCATGACAATTTGTTGCTCACTGCGAGTTTATGATCATTTCTTCGATTATATTTTATATTTTATTGCAATACCTTTCGTGGACCTTTCATAGCATCGTAATGTTTGTTTACTCTGCACGATAGGTAGCCGGTTTGACAGCTCAATAGGTAGACTTGGCTTCACTCTTGGCGTGACTCATTATACACCGACTCTAGTCAATTCGTAAAGATTGTCCTGGACTTCCGCGATTTTTTTTAATCACTTGTTGTGGGGCTGTATGGATGGGTTTAGGTTTGAAACCGGCAGGTGTACTCTGCCCTGCCGCGGAACGGTCATCCGGAAGATCTGGAATATCCTTAAAGGTGGTCAATTTGTTGAGAATATTATAGAGCTCCACTGTTTTTTTTTTATGCACTCGTTGTGATGCTGCATGGATTAGTTTGGATCTAGAACTAGCATGCGCACTTTGCTGGCTTTCGGAATATTAAGAATATCCGTAAAAGTGGTAAATTCGTAACAAAAGATGCCAGAGCTCCGCGAATTTTTGGTAATTTTTTGTGGTGATGCTTGACATGACATGAATTAATTTGATTTGATATGATATTTGTTTCAATCCCATTTTTCATATCGATTGTTAAATCAAGATTTCAAGCTAAATAACCACTTCACTGTTTGACACAAAACTAACAAATTGACAACTCGCTCCCATACAAAGTACCAACGAGGGGCGCTAAGACCACATTTACTGATGTTCAGGAGGACCGTCCCGTACATCTTGGTCTCGGATCCGGGTTCATCCGTACAACGTCGCAATAAGTTGTTTCGAAGAATCGCGGAGCTCTGGATTATTTTTTGCGAGTTGACTACTTTTACCGCTTCGCTGTCTCTGGTCCCAGATTCAACCTCATTCATGTATCATCATTGCAAGTGATTTTTAACAATTTTCAAATGAAAAACAAAAATGAAATTTCACTAATGCAACGGTTGGGTCGGTCGCTATCGCGTTATCACACTTGAATAGCAACCCCCCGGTGCGGTTGCTGCGTTATGGTGGAGGTTGCTAAAGTAGCTTTAATAAGGACAACCAACCAACCATAATACCCTCAGAGTTCATATTATACCTCCTTCTGGTATTCCCTTATAGAATGCTCCATAATACTCTTGAAAATCAATCTTTGAATTCACTCTGCAATGCTTTTCAAATTATTAATAATTCTTGCAGTATTACTAAGAACTCCCCGGAGATTTCTCCAGGAAAATTCACGTACAGTTCTCTTCAGCACTCACTTTGTATTCTCCAGAATTTCCTGTGGTTTTTTCAAGAAATTCCTTTTTCACTCTGCTCAGGGCTCCCATAAATTGTTTGAAATGCTCCGCACAAATCCCTTTGAAACTCTCCTTTTAATTCTCGCCGGAATATGCTTGAAATTCATTTGAAATGTTCCTCGAAATTTCGTTGGAATCATCATTGGAATTCAATTTTGGAATTCCCTCGCGATTACCTTGAAATGCTTCTCAGTATTAAATCCTTTGAAATTATTCTCAGAATTTTCATTGAATTCATTGCAGAATGTTCGTTGAATTTTATTCCTACCAATGGAATTCTACTCACCTTGAAAGTTTCCTACGAATTTGTTAGCAGTAAATTAACAAATTCCTTTGATTTCGCATTAAACATTATTTGGCATTCTTGTCAGAACTCGCTTGGAATTATTCTCCGAGTTCTTCTGGAATTATTCTTAGATTTTTTGTAATCCTCCTGCATTATCCCGAAGTATTCTCTGAAAATTATCCTCAGAATTATTTTGGAATTCTTCTTTGAATTTCCTTGGACTCCTCTTCAGAATTCCTTTGGAATTGGCGTTAGAAATTCCTGTGAATTTTCATTAAAATTTCCTTCGGTATTCTCCTCAGTTTTCACATAGAATGTGGAGTTCCTCAGAACTACCTTAAAAGTAGAGTGCACTATTTTTTTTTTCTTCACGGTTCTTCCCATAACTCCCCTAATAGAGCTCCGATGACCCTTATCTTGTAGACAATGGATGTATCATCTGCAAACACAGACAATGTTCCACCATCTGGGAGAGCCGGAATGTCGGAGGTGAACAAGTTGAAGAGAATGGGCCCAAGGATACTTCGTCAATAGCTTTGTGGTGTTTCAACGCTGGACTCATAAGCTTGAAGCCTTCAGTGCAAAGGCTGATGGTACATTTGAGTCCTTTACCAATGTAATAGTCTATTTTCTCCATCAATCCTGGTGGGAACCTTTTCACGAAGAAAGGCGGAAGTTTGATGCTCTAATTCATCTAATTATATTGACAGTTATTATAGAACATAGATAAAGAATATGATGCTTGGTGAAATACGAGAAAATTATATTTAATTTTACCGCAATGTTTTTATATTTGAATTAAGCCGCGTCTGGCTTCAAATCTCCTTAATAAAGACAACCAACCAACCAACAATTTAAAGTAAACCACAAATATAAATCCAGAAATATCGGGTTAAACTCATAGCGAATTTGTTTATTATTCAGTTCCAACCGGGATCGGGTATCAAGATCGGCTCTGCTTGTTTTCTGACAAACGTCAATTTGATCGTTTGTTTTTAAAACCTACCTCAGGTTGAGGTTCGCACTGACAAAAAATTCGGTTTCGCATTGTAAGCCGGCTCTCTCGATCAAAAATGTTATAAGACACAATCCACGTTACAACATTTTTCAAGTTCCGGAATCACGCATCCAGGAAGCCGTTCATCAACGTATCCCATTAATTACTCCGCATTGCTTTCCCGCAATCCGTTCCACCATCTACAGCGTAGGTTCATCCACTAAACAACAAAAGAAGGTGAAAAACAAGCATTCCCTTTAGCAATCCAATCATTTTACGATTGAGAAACGTTCCACCATCGGCCATGCAGAGGGAAAATTGAAACTACGGTCTTTGGTTATTCTGTTCAAGTCCAAGAAACAAAAGTTCGAAAAAACAAACATTTTTTCATTTACCAAAGTGCTTTGCAACGGGAAAAAAAAGCATAAAAAGAAAACTTGCTCACGCCTCCTACTTTGAGGAAACGACGGAAGAAAAAAGAATAACACGAAAAGTGCAACAAGTCACATGGTTTTAGTACTTTTACGAGATATAAACAAAGGCCCAGCTGCAGTGGGAGTGGAGTGAGAAAACTGTGCGCATCGTTCGAGTGAGGGAAAGAGAGCAACGGTTCAGCGGACTTCCCCTCTGTGCGCTTTTGGGTGAGAATATATGAGAACGTACGGACAAGAGAGTGAGAGTGTATGTAAACAGATTATGGCTTGGGGGTGGAGTTTTGGAATCCGATGGTTTGCGGTCGTTTGGAAACAATTCAAGTTTGCACAGTTTAGACAAACCGTTGGCTAGGTCAATAGGATTCGAGGATCGATTGAGGTGGAATTAGAATTGCTTTGAAGCACAAAGGTGACAAAGGTGAATGGATCCAGAGGGAGCGAACATTTCGGAAATTGACAGTTGTACTAAAATGGATCTGCTTTATCGACGGCGCTGTACGCACGTGGTACGAATGGTGAGAGCATGTCAAGTGAGAGCGCGTGACGAGGCGGAGCCTACTGGGACTGAGAAGATTTGACTCCGGAGATATCCTTTTCATACTGCTGGGAGTTCGCGCACAGGGAATTAGTACAGGGAAGTGACTGGAGCGGGTGAAGGTTAGAGTGAGAAGGTTAGTGCAGGAAGCTCAAAGGGATTGTAAATCCGACACAAGATGCTCTCTCCGGTCATGTATCCGGTGTGTATACGCACCAATACAGCTGTAAGCCCCATGATTCGCTCAACAGGGACACACGTGAAGCGCCCTCTGCGTAGAGGAGTGAGCGAGCTGGTGGGATGCTGGCACTGTCCCACTCTGGTGCTCTGGTGCCAGTGGTCGAATGGATGGATGGAAAAACTCAAAAGTTAACGTCAACCGGGGCCCCGGTGTAGTGCTACTGGTGTTCTGCACAGCTCTCTGGATATGTATGTATGTCAGAGAACAGACATCGCGCGGTCGGTTCGCAGCTACAGTAGGTACACCAGCGAGCAGTGTAAAACTCCGATCGTAACTTTGCGCTGCTGATTTCAGTTGGGGTTTAGCAGTCACACGGGACGAACGTTTACACTCTCTGGAGATCTGCCCGGAACAGGAGGGAAACCGTTTTGAGCAAATCGGACACTGGAGACCGGCACCTGTGCGTAGTTGTGATAGAAGAATACATGGTGAAGAAGTGCTATTGGCATAGTAGTGTGGCGACATCTGTGTATCGGAACAAGTGATTGGTGATTTATGTGGTTCGGGGGAGAAATTGGGTTCGATCCCAAGGCGGTTGTGTAAAGTGTCCATCACAGGAAAACCGGAAGTGACAAGCGTGTGTGAGAGGACGTCTATCTTTCGTTTGCTCAATGAAACGTGCCAACTGACGGATCGAAACTGAAGGTGTGAGAAGTGGTGCCGTAATTGTGAATAGATTTTGTGATAGCAGCAAGTGATCGTGACATTTCGAAACTTTTCTCCGTGCGAGCCTAAGTCAACTGCCAGGTTCTGGAAACCTGAGTGTGCGTGCTACTTTTCCTGTAGAAAGCGATCACAATAGTCGTCACGGTGTACGATAACGGACTAAAGCTGCGTTCGGACGAGACAGTGCCGGGCTTCAGCTCGGCATCGCCCTGGCCAACGCTCGAACTAGAATGGGGTCGCAAGCTGTACCCATCTTCGGTTCCTCGCGGGGCCGGTGGCATGATGTTCGGGTTGCCACCAACCGGGGCCGATATGAATCAACCCCGCGGCCCGATGACATCACTCAAGGAGGAGCCGCTCGGAGCTCGAGCCTGGATGCAACCGGCCGTCGATACCTCAAAGTAAATATTTCAAAATCCGCATTTCGACAGCATCTGATAAATCCTTACCTAGGAGAAGAACAACACCATAAAACACCGCAACCCAACAAACACACTATCATCGACTTTAATTGTGCCAAGAATTTACGACCAAGATCGTAAATCATACCACTCTTACCATATTTTTCCGGTGCCCGCCAAACGGGGAGCCTTTCACATGCGGCGGACGGCTATCAGCATGGTCATAATTAAAAGCGGCCAAAAGATCGCTCCGGCACGATAAGGACCGCGAACGAAAGCTGTCAGCAGCGTGCGAATTATCCAAAATATAACCTCTGCTGGTGCGCGCGGTTTCCGCGGATGTCATATTTCACCCCGTGTAAATTGCATTTCGAACGCGACAAACTCTCTAAAATCTAAACCGAGTGCGGTGCGATAAGCGCGTTCCTATAATAATGAAATAGTTATGCGGTTGTAAATTGTTTTCACCCAGCAGGGCACTCTGGTGACAAATTTCCAGAGATTTAAGAACACGTGCTAGGACGAAGAACGGGCCACTACTACTGGAGCGTGGAGCGTGAAAAATTCGTTTTACCAGTTTGTTTTTTATGGTTTCGAATTCGATGATGGTACGGAACGGATGGGGATGATGATGATGATGATGACGATGACGGTGGTAGGGATGGTGGCTTGGAGCGATAACCATTATCGTTGGCGCCTGGAAGTTATGCTCTACGCGATACGAGTTTTGCGATATTGTTCATAGAATAGTGGTTTTGCTGAACACATTAAATTAAAAATGGTTTAAATACGGTTGCAAAATTGCTGAAACGTTTACCGTTCGTATTAAATACCGAATGAATTTTACGTGGTGCAATGTGATTGCTTAGAAATGTATATTAATTGAATGTGGTTTTCAATTAACTAGGGCTTACATCAAACTTTGGCCTTTGGATGGATTTATTTGATGTTCTCTGCTCGATAGGCCCAAAGTGGTGCTCTATCGCCGATGTAGTGCTCTACCCTATATCTAATTTATTTAGTCTTAAATTGAATCGAAGGTATATGAAATAGTAAATTTAATTGATTTTATTTAGTTTGGTTTGGTTTATTTATTTGGTTGATTATGTTTATCCAGATTTAACACCGATAACTTCGTGATTCCCAGACGAAGACGGGAAGTAATAAAAAGACGAAAAATTCAACCACACTGGTGTTTTGCTGCTATAACAGCGATTTCGGATGGATAGGAAAGCGATAAACTTCTGCTAGAAATAGATTGGGTGGGACTGAAAGTTTGGCAATGGTTTGTACTGATGTGTAAGTTGATGCGCTGTGAATTTAAATCCCTTTAACTGTTCATTTTCAGTGAATTATATTTTCCATATTTAATGATCACAGATCTTAAAGATAACTTAAATTTGTCACCAGTTTTATGATTTAAAAAATTGCATCATGGTAGATTTTGAGCACTATCCCAAGGGTATCCAGAGCATGTTCGGGTGTGGCAGATGTGATCGGAAAACAAATTTCACTATTGTTGATAATGATTCAATATAGTGCGATATTTGCATGGCCAGCGGTGAAAACGAAGCAAATTTTATCAAAAGCACTCACAACAAAAATCCAGCTGAAAAGTTCAGCAGTAAGGAATCTATAGTTTCAACAAGCAAGGCTACATAGCCCAAACTCTCATAGATCGTCAACTAACATGTTGGTTATTCATTCTTTTTGCGTGGACGTAGTTTACCAAAATTTGAGTAGGATTATGTGTAAATTAAAGACAAAATTAATTACTCATTCGAGCAATTTTGGGGCGAACTTCTACGGGAGATTTCATGAAAATGACGCAATCACTGGATCACATCAGACGAGCAGTTTAAAAAGACGCTTCCTACCACTCTTACTTTACCGTGGACCAATATATGATTTTTTTCTTCTTCTTGAACCTCAAGAAAATAGAATCTTATTCATACTAAGCTAGCAAAATCTGGAATTTATAGCTCCATTTTCTAAAAAGCGCCGATAGAAGACCATCTCAAAACTGCCTGACAATATGATTAATTTTGATTTTTAGGCTTAGCATATATTAAACCATCTTTTTTCGAAGTTCCCTAAACATAAATCCCGTGATAAAACTCGTGGTGAAGTTCATGATAAAGTTCAATTGGTAGAAAACGTCATTTTAATCGTTATGCACGTGACGGAGTGCCCGGGTACCCAACTCTCATTAGAATAACACGATGTAGAAAAGCGCAAAAACATCCTCAAGCACATAAGGGTTAAACTGCTTGAATGGTGTAATTAATTTATCATATAATCGAGCAGTTTTTGGATGTTCTTTTATCAGTGATTTTAAGAAAATGAGGTAATCAATTTCGATTTTTTTGGCCAATCATGTGCTAATCGATATAATAACAGCGCATGTCGCATACAACATTGACAACTTTGACATGTTGTAACTGTGTGATGTAAAGATCAATTGAGCTGAAACGTTTGCCACAGAACTACATGTACAATTTAACGATTACAAAATACCAAATTTTTGGAAGCACCTAGGAAAAATTGTTCGAAATAATAGCAGTTGTTGATTTGAACATTTATGTACTGCAAATATTTTAAACTATTATGTACATTTGTTAATAGGGTGGGGATTGTTTGAATTTTGAGAAATGTAAAATTTAAAACATGAAAAATTGAGCTGAAACGCAAATTATTAAAACTGCTGTTATTTCGAACAATTTTACCAAACCAAGAAAGGAATACTAATTATAGCTATTTTTATTACAAAGAGAGGATACTTTTCGTTCTGCTTATTGTAATAAACTTCTTGGTAGTTATTGAATATATCCATACCATTTTTGAAACGTTGCATCTTAGAATCATTGTTTAACATACGTATGAGCAGCGCTCGCAATACCACTGCTGATAAAGTTTTTGAAAAGTAAGGAGATGTAATATGTATTACAGAATGATACAAGCTCATTTTAGCAACGAAAAAGTTTAAGTTATTTCATATCAAACGCGGAACTGATCCATACACGATTTTTCTTCTGCGAATATGTTTATTTTTCATCTATTCTAAGAAATGCTACACACCAACGAAAATGGAAACAAATTCGTTTTTTTAGAAAAATGATTGAAAGTAAAATAAAAATTAACTAAATCCACTAGGAAGTTTCTCCACCTAAAAACATTATTTTATGTTTGCGAAGTTCAAAAGAGAACGAATGTTTTTTTTCAGATCAACATAGGGGAAATAACGGTTTTTACACTTGTTTACCTATTATCGAAAGGGGAGTAAACGAAGTCCTTCAGCGCTGATTTGTGTTGATAAAGGTTCATCATATTCCAGAGCATCGTTTTACAAAAAACGAACACTCTAAGACTTCATTTACCCCAAATAGTTCATGATCAAAATAGATCATTGGAGTCTCAGATAGCCTTCTTTTTGTTTTTCTTCTGTTCGGGACATAAAACCACCAGCGACCAGTAATTTGATTTGACTATTGAGAAATGATGAAATATTCGGTATTGATAAAGTTGTGATTCTTGCCTTCATCGCAAGGAATCGATTCTAATTGAAAGGACACGCTATTTATACCCTTCGAAGAGTGAGATCACTCTCCAAAGGCACGCCCCCTTGTTAGTCAAAAATGGATTCCTTTGCAACAAAATTAAGGAATGACTCCGATAATGACCATGCATCAGAACCCTAGTCTTAACCACTTCAAACTAGGGATCATCGAATAGAATATTAGGAATCACATTGATGAAGACTAACTAACTCAATTTTCATGATCATCCGCGGTGGACAAAGCAGAGTCTTGTCACTATCAACAAGGCATAAAAAGTAACAAGGACTAAGATGTGTTCCTTTGCTAACTGAAAAATCCTGTTCCCCTAGTTTGAAGTAATCAGGATAAGGAATGATAGATCTTTCATCCCGTAACGTACCACGAGAAAGGAATCTCGAACTTTTGATAAGGGCTTAGTTTTTAATTGATCTTAAATGACAATATTTTCAAGTCTTTTTCTGCAACATTTACGTACTGTTGTGAATTTTACAACATAGGGTTACGGTATGTAATGTGGGTCTAGTCCTTTCATTCGGCCTATCACGCAAATAAATAATTAATTAAGGAATATTACACAAAAAATAAGGAAAATATTGATCACTGATGATTGATAAATGTGTACCACACACAAATCAATTTATATCACAACATTTCAATACATTTTCAGCTCTCGTAAGTAATAAAACTGGTTGAGAATATCACTCTGTTCGGAGTTTTTAGCCGCCATGACTTCTAAGGTTAAGATGGGAAGGTTGCACTGACGATCATCAAATGGCCTGATTATGGCATTTATTGAATGGAATTACCTGATAATACACACTAGACGTAAAACTCACAGTTACTGTTTGAATATTTTATGTTTATTTTAATTGTTTAACAACGTTTTCACAAGTAAATCATGGACCCAACTTTAGGGACACATTTCTTTTCTATGTTCCTAACTTTGGCCCATGAAATTCATTTGACAGCATATAGCAATAAGAGTAACGTCAACAATGTGGTTTGCATTTGGATGATAAGGAACGAACAGGAAGGGAGATTTTTTCTGCCAAATCTGTATAATGAACATCACAATGTTTTGATTTAGATATTCTGCGGTCGAAAGACGATAAGCGAAATTTTTAATTTTTAATTTTTAACTTGAGTGATTTAATGTAGTTTTCGTAAAATTTTCTCTAAGAAATGTTTTGAGGAATGAAGAGTATTAAGTTAACAGTGATAGTGATAAAAAAAATACATAAGAAAACGTTACCAAGAGCGTTTTTTTTGAGAATCAAACAGGATAGGACGAAGTTGCATCCATAAATAGACCCAATTTGGGGACAATAGACCGATATTACATACATTTCCCTGGTGAGTTTTTGTCTTAAAAAAAGTAAGTTTTTCAACTTTTTGCGGTTCCTGATAGCAAACGACATGATAAGCATATCTAAGCATACCATT